GCCACTTCCTATTTTGAGCTTCTTTTCATCACCCTGTACCCTACTCAGGCACCTGCGCATGTGCAGACACCAGCCTCTGCCATTCTTTTAGAACCTGGTGCCTCTATATTCATTTTTTTCCAGTAACCGGCCTGCAGGATTGATTAGGGAATTAAAATAGTTGAACAATATGAAGGTAAATATTTCCTCCTGTGCCTTCTATTTGTTTATTTTTTAAGATTGTAAAATTGGGAGATGGAAGTTAATTTTCTTTGATTTGCTTTTTTGATAGATGATTTATCTTACTCTATATAGAATGCCTGCAACATAATATGTAAAGTGAGTACCACTGACTTTTTAATACTTCATACAATGTGGTAATTTTGATTCAGTTTGATTGTCTAATGTTAGATCTGTAAGGTATCTTTTCATGGAGTATGTAGTTTTCCATGAAATTAGGGATTTCAGTTTGAATTGGAATCTATTTCATTATTTTCTTGTATTATAATTCTTTCATTTGTGTGTTTCACACAAAAGAGTGTCTTAATTGAGGCAGAATTTAGAATGCAGGGAACACAGGAATGAAAGAGAAAGAGATGATCTTGATGTTCATGGAGTTTATAGTTTTCCCGTGGAGTTAAATATTAAACAGGATAGTGATTTACTAGAGTTGTCACTAGTATTACTAAGGAAAAATACAGCATGTAATGAGCAAGCACAATATGGGATTGTACCTTGTATTTGGGGTACATGGAAAAGTAACATTTAGGCTGAGACTTAAGAGTTGAGGCAGCACAGCAGGTAGGGAGGGAAAGATGTGTTTGTGTTTTGGAGGCAGAGGCAGACATTAGGAACAGTCCCAAGGAGGACAGCTATTCTCACCACTTTACCACCAACACAAGGCAGACTTTAAGAACAGCCCCGAGGCAGCAAGCTGTTTTGAGTACATTAGGTAACTTTTCTTAGCATTTTTTTTGGTTCGTGATGCTGATTTGTGATTCTTTAATTATCTCCTTATGTATTTTAGTGCATTTGGAAAAATAAATGCTTTTTCGAGGGAAATATCTTAATGCCTTAAATGACAAGATCTAATTTCTTTGGGAAAATGCCATGTCTTAAAACTGTTCTTATGGATTTCTTGTCAGTCACAGAGTATGAGTTGGCAAAAAACTTCTTTTAGAAAAATTGAAAGTATCATAAAGCATTTCATCATTTACAAGTGTTTTCTAGTCTAATAAAACTTTCAGTAAGTCACATGTAAGTGTAAATTAATGGAGATGCTATTTGGCATGTTGAATATTCAGTTCAAGAGAGTTTAAAAAACAACTTAACATTGAGGAGTTTTAAATTAAGCTCATCTTGAACTTGAAGCCTCAGTTTCAGCAATATACTTTCTGCTGGGCCTGCTGTGTCATTGTTCAGCTGATAAACAAGGGAATGATGTTTTTAAACCTGTTTCACAGGATTTATGAGCAATTGTGTAACATTTTGTGAAGGCATCTTTAATCTGGTAATAGTGATCTTAATTAGAAAGAAGATGAGTCTGGGAGAGTTTTAAATTCTGAAGCTGAGGATTCTATCCCCCAAATACTTTTGGAGTATTGACTATTGTATTTTCTTAGCTTATTTCTTAATATATTTAATTGTGAAACGGAATTGAACTTGATTCCTTCTTTGTAATAGCTATATTTAGAACTGTTAAATTCATTATGTTTTCCATACGGTTATATTGATCATTATCAATGTAAATTATTAACACAAATACACTCAAAGCAAAGTAATGTGCTATTATAATTAGAAAGGACCAAAAAGACTTTCTTGACTACAGGGGTGATTTTAAGTGTTGGAATAAACTACAAGCAAAGTTGTGTAATCTCCATTCCTCAAATAACATCTTAAAATTGGATCAACACTTACTGAAGTGCTGCCTTATTTTCTTAAACTTTTACAAGTAAACATATCTGTTACTGTCCCTTTATGTTGATCAGGTATACATTTAAATCCTCTATCTGCTCTGCCACTTACTAGGTAAGTAGATGACCTTGGGGAAATCACTTACTGTTTCTGAACCTCAGTTTCCCCTGGGTTTTTATGGGGACTAAGTGTCATGATATATGTAAAAAAGGGTAAAATAGCTACATAATTAATGCTCCCTTTTCCTTCTAAGTCTACTTCAATAAATAATAAGTATTGTGGATGCATTGCTATGGATGCTTTTTTTTTTTAATTAATATTTTTGAGAAGTGAATAGTGCGGTAGAAGCAGCTATTTATGTTGAAGCTTGAGAACCTTCTTCTTTCCTTCTTTCTACCTTTGAAAGTTGTTGCTGTTTTTGCTTTTAACTCAGTTGTTTGTAGCTGTTGCTATTTTAAACACTTTTTGAATTAAGTGATGTTTTGAAAGATGTGTTCTGCCTGGTGTGGTCCTGTGATGGTATGTACAGTAAATAAAGTGTTACTCCAAGTTATGATAGCACTGGTCACTTCTGTTGAAACTGCTTGTATTTTTAGGTTTCTCCCTTAGTAACAGTCAAGCTTATAAGTTTCAGCATGTGAGATGAACTCAATCTAGTGGTTGCAAAATAAGAAAGCTAGAGCTGTTTTCACAATCTAATCACTCAGTATGATTTGTTTTACTTCTTATTAAAGTTTCTCTTTGAATATCTGCTTCATTTACAAATGTTTGTCATTAGTCTGTTATTTTTTCTATTATGACACTTTTGCTTATCTGTTTTTGATTTATAGGTTTATGAGGTCAAACATTCAAAAGTACTTAACTCATAATTTGTAATTTTTTAATAGAATTTAAACTTTTCTACTTAATCAAGAAAAGTTTTATTGATAACGATTTAGATAAACTTTAGTTATTCTAGTTTGAGGAAAATCAAACCTCAACTGAGAAAAAAATATAGCGGTTTGGGAAGTGATTACTTTATCGACCTGAAACCAAGGTATAATTTACAGAAAGATGTGTCAGAGAGCTAGCAATGTCTTATGCACTAAGGTGAAGAAAATAGGCTAAGAATCAACTTTTTTGTTTTTGTCTTTGTCAGCTGGTCAGTAAGGGGATCTGAACCTGTGAAAATCAGCTTCTTATCCAAAAATTTATTGTCTACTACATGTAATTTAATTTGGGAAATGATGAGCTGAGTTGCCTGTTCCATATGCAGGTAGAAATTTGTAATGAGTAATTAGCTGTAGAGGTCGAGTTTGGAAGAGGGATCTGGGAGGGATGTATAGATGAGTTTTCGGCATATGGATGGTAATTGAAACTTTTGGAGAAATTGAGCTCACACATGGAGAATGTATAGAATGAGCAAGAAATGACATGGAACCCTGAAAAGAGTAATATTTAAGAAAAGATGAAGAAATAATCAGAGAGGTAATAGGCAAATTGGAGAAGTGTAACATCATGAAAAGAGAATTAAGATAAAAGTCCAGTAAAGGTGGGATTAGGCATCATAATGATATCATGGAGAAGGAAGATGGTGTCTGAAAAAAATGCCCTTTGGATTTACTGTTGAGGATCTCAGTTGAGCAGTTTTAATGAGCCACAGTTAAAATAAAGCCAGATTAGAGGGTTGAAGAGTATATGGGAGATTAGGTTTTTTTGTTTTTTGTTTTTCTTCTGAAAGCTTGACTAAATAGGAAAAAAGAATGGTAACAGAAGGGAGATATTATTTTATTATTTTGGTTTTTTAAAGATGGAATATTCTTTTCAGTTTTTACTGCTAATTGGAACAAACCAATAAAGAAATTGAAGATTATAGGAAAAAAAATACATTGAATAGGTGCAGTAATTATGAGTAAATCAATATTGTCTATGCTTTCTCTTATTTTTGGTGTAAAACTTTTCTTGATGAAAGTTGTAATGCTGATCTTAAAGCAGGAAAGACCATTAAGTATCTGTAATCCTGTCATGTTATTTTATAGATACTATTTCTCTGCTTAACATTCTCAGTGATGCCCAGTTACTAAAAGTCTGAACTCCTTAGAGTGGCATAGAGCACTCACTGTGATTTGCCTCATTCCTGTCTGGCCTCATCTCTCACAACTACCTTCCATTTTACCTTGTGATCCAGCAGTACTAGGAAACTTCAGGTTCCCTGAACATGTTTTGACAATTCATGCTTTTCTGCATTTGCGTGTGCTGTTATTTTCTGAATAAATTTCCTGTATATTTTAATTAAGGCTTACTTTGTTGATTTATTGTAGAATTGATTAAGGCATAAGTAGAAGGGGAAATTGATATGTGAAATCTTAAATGAATTCATATGTTTACTGGGAATAAAAAAAGAAAACATAGTTTTAGTTAAGTATATTTATGAAATTCAGATTACTCTAGGAATGTGAAAGTTTTCTGCAATGTGGGATACATCAAATTCAGTTTGGTTGAAATTAAAAAGGTAAAGCTAAAGCATACTCTAGAATCTAAAAGTTAAAATACACATTAATTTGTTATTAGCATTAATTTATGTACTACACAGCACTAGAATTTAAATATATTTTCGGGCCGGGCCCGGCCGGCCCGGTGGCGCACTGCTACAGTGCACCGCTTGGGAGTGCGGCAGCGCTCCCGCCGAGGGTTCGGATCCCACATACAGACCGGTTCCCGCTCACTGGCTGAGCGAGGGGCGGGTGCGACACTGAGGGTTGCGATCTGTTGCCAGACACGAAAAAAGACAAAAAAAAAATAAATATGATATTTTGAAACTTGTTCTTTTAGGTATATTGTTATGTAGTATGTAAAAATGAGCCTTTAGTACTCAGCATTCAATTCAGTATTCAGTTTTTATTACTGAATTGTTACTTGAATCAAAGTCCTTAAGTTCTTTCAAGATGTATTGATTATATGTAAAATTAACTGGTTAAATATGTTTACTTTATATATTTCATCCTAAAATAAGCCAAGATAAATTAGTGATTTGATTTATATTATTAAACAGTTTTGGAAATTAACCACTTTTTGCCTAACTTTCTGTTTTTTTGTTTTTTGTTTTCCATTTCAACAACTAGAGCTGTACTGGCCATTATGGAGGAGGAGCTGCAGCATTCACACTGTGTGAACTGTGTCAGTAGAAGATGTATGATCAGACCAGAGCCTGGGATTTCCTGTGACTTGATTGGTTGTCCATTGGTTTGTGGAGCAGTTTTTCATTCTTGTAAAGCTGATGAGCATCGACTTTTATGTCCATTTGAACGAGTGCCTTGCTTAAACAGTGACTTTGGATGTCCCTTTACCATGGCCCGAAATAAGGTTGCAGAACATCTAGAAATGTGTCCTGCAAGTGTGGTCTGCTGTACTATGGAATGGAACCGATGGCCAGTTAGTTATGCAGACCGCAAATCATATGAAAATCTAAGCAAAGATGTTGATGAAGTGGCACAATTAGACATGGCCTTGGCCCTTCAAGACCAAAGGATGCTCTTAGAATCTCTCAAAGTAGCCACCATGATGTCAAAAGCAACTGAGAAAGTATCTGAACCTAGAGAACAAATCTCAGTTAAATCAAGTGTCCCAGAAATACCACATACTAATGGTTTGGTGTCTGTTGAAGAATCTTATGGTGCACTTTATCAGGCTACTGTAGAAACAACCAGAAGTTTGGCTGCTGCTTTAGATATCCTGAATACTGCCACAAGAGACATTGGCATGTTAAATACAAATCTTTGTGCTTCCCCAGATGAAATGGATAAAAAGCAAAATGCCAGAGAAAGCTTACAGGATAGAAACTTAAAAGAACAAGACCATCTTCATGAGGATGACATAGGAGCAGTAGGTGGAATTGACTGTAATGACACAAGTCAGAATGCCCAGTCTGAACAAAATGGTTCAAGTGATTTATTATGTGACTTGAATACAAGTTCTTATGGTACTTCTGCTCTTTGTAATGGCTTTCCTTTGGAAAATATATGTACACAGATCATAGACCAGAATCAGAATTTCCATGATGATTCAAAACAAAGTAGCTTAACAAATGGAGAATGTGTGGCATCAGATGGCACTTCAGAACCTTCCGGTTCACTTTCAGTAGCAGCGGAACTTAGGGAAGTAGTACCATCCAGTGCTTTGCCTAATGGCACAGTTCAGCATATCCTTATGCCAGATGATGAGAATGAAGGAGAATCATATTGGAGAAAAGTAGACTTAGGGGACTTGAGGGATGTGGATGTCTTATCTTTCAGTCCTGCTCCTTCATTCAAATTTCTTTATAATTCATGTTGGTCTAAATCAAAGGAAGATAAAGCAGTAGATACATCAGATTTGGACACTGCAGAAGATCCCATGGGCCTCCAAGGAATAGATCTGATCACAGCAGCATTACTGTTTTGTCTAGGAGATTCTCCAGGTGGGAGGGGTATATCTGATAGTCGCATGGTTGATATTTATCGCATCGATGTTGGAACTCAGACTTTTTCACTTCCATCCGCAATATTAGCTACAAATACAATGGTTGGGGAAATAGCTTCAGCTTCAGCTTGTGATCATGCCAACCCACAGCTTTCAAATCCAAGTCCTTTTCAGACACTTGGGCTGGATTTAGTATTGGAATGTGTTGCTAGGTACCAACCCAAGCAGCGTTCAATGTTTACCTTTGTGTGTGGACAGTTATTTAGAAGAAAAGAATTTTCTTCACATTTTAAGAATGTGCATGGTGACATTCATGCTGGACTCAATGGCTGGATGGAACAGAGGTGTCCTTTAGCTTACTATGGTTGCACCTATTCTCAGCGTAGATTTTGTCCATCAACACAAGGAGCAAAGATTATACATGACCGCCATTTGAGGTCATTTGGAGTTCAGCCATGTGTATCTACAGTATTAGTAGAGCCTGCTAAAAATTGTGTGTTGGGATTACTCAGTGACCATCTGAGTAGTCTTCCTTTTGAGGTCCTGCAGCATATTGCAGGCTTTCTCGATGGCTTCAGTTTATGTCAGTTCTCACGTGTATCCAGATTAATGAGGGATGTATGTGGCAGTCTGCTTCAGTCTCGTGGAATGGTCATACTGCAGTGGGGGAAAAGGAAGTATCCAGAAGGAAATTCATCATGGCAAATAAAAGAAAAGGTTAGTTTAATCTTAACTGTATCAACCTCTTACTTGACATAAAGTAGGCACTTAATACTGTTTAATTAATATAATTAATATCTTATTGAGAAATTGATCCTCCCCTAAATCTTACTAAATGAATATGACAAACTTTTTAAAATGGTAAGTAATGAAGAACTAGGATATTTAGAATTGTTTCTCATAATCACAGATTTTACTGCAGATTTCCTAGAACTAGATTCTAATCTAAGATGGCAGAAGCCACTTCTGTTTCTTCAGATGAGTAGTTCTGTACCCCCTCAATTCTTCTATAAAACTCCCTTTTGTTTGGGTCCATGTTGCCATTTCGAATTTGGACTCCATCTGAAATGTTACCATAAGGCAGTGGAAGAAGCAAGAAGAAGGTTTTTTTTCTGCTTACAGTTGTTCATTTCTCTCTTGTTGATTCTCCCTTCTTCATGCCTCTCAGGTTTGCTTCTCTGTTCCCACTGCCATTTCCCTAGTTCAGTGCCACCTTTAGTTCTCTCCTGGATTACTACAGCAGCTTCCTCCTCACTGGGTTTTTACTTCCAATTGGTTGCCTTTCCAACATTCTCTACACAAGAGCTAGAGTGATATATGTTTTTTTAAATGCAATTCTTATGCTGTCACTACAGTGTTTAAAACTTCTTTAATATTTGTCCATTGCCCTGGAATAGAGGCCAACTCTTTAATAAAACATTTAGGACTTTCCATAATCTCATCCTTATTTACCTCTTCAGTTTCCTCCTGTCACTTTATACTTCAGCCACGTTGATTTACTAACAGGTCCCTGTTTCCTTCATTGCCTTAAGGCCTTTGAGTGTGCCATCTTTAACACCTACACTTAAACACCCGCGATATGCTAGACAGTGTGTGTTAGTGCTTTACTATATTTAACTTATTTAATATACTGTCCACATTTCATGGGTCAAGAAACATGTTAAGTAACTTGTCTAGCTAATTGATGGATTTAGTCCTAGGGAGCCTGTCTCTCGAGCTTGTGATCTTCATCTTGCTATATACTGCTTACTATTCAGGTCTTATTTCCTCAAGAAAGCCTCTTGGAACCCCCACCTTGAAGCCTTCAGGGAGGTTGCACTGCCCTGTGTTCCTGTGGTGCTCCATTATATACCCCTATAAAGCACTCATCATACTCTTTTGAAATTCATTGGTGAATTGATAGTTTAGACTAAGTTCCTTGAGAAGTGAGACTCTCTGGGAACCAAAATATCTACTCCCTAGCACAGCACCTACTGTATACCAGGCATTAAGTAAATATTTGATGCATACTTGAATGAAAGATTGACACTTTACTAAGAAACCTTGTCATCAGCAGGTGGAAGACATCCTTTTTTTTCCTTAATTTTTTTTTTGCCCGCTTTTCCTAAGTTTGTTTCTTTTTTTTTTTTTTTAAAGATGACCGGTAAGGGGATCTTAACCCTTGACTTGGTGTTGTCAGCACCACGCTCACCCAGTGAGCTAACCGGCCATCCCTATATGGGATCCGAACCCGTGGCCTTGGTGTTATCAGCACCGCATTCTCCTGAGTGAGCCACAGGCCGGCCCCCATATATTTTTTTTTTCCTTTTTGTCTTTTTTTTTTTTACTGACCGGCAACGGGATCGCAACCCTCGGCGTTGCGCCCGCACCACGCCCAGCCAGTGAGCGGGAACCGGTCTCCACATGGGATCCGAACCCTCGGCGGGAGCGCCGCCACACTCCCAAGCGGTGCACTCTCCAGCGCGCCACCGGGCCGGCCCTAAGTTTGTTTCTTAGTTGAGTGAAAGTAGAGCAGCTGTCTAGACACACCATTGAATCTTTCAGCTAATTTGTTCTGCTGAAGCTTAAAGAAAATTTCTAATTCCTCCTATATGTTTGTAGGTATGGGGAATTATAAGGGAAGCTAGTGACATACATAATGTCACTAGGCCTTTGCTGACTCCTGGGAAGTTACTTCGTACAGGGTGATTGATCATGACCCTAAAGAGTATAGGGAGTTCCCTTCCTGCTCAACAATGGTGACTTCTATTGCCAGCTGAAAAATAAGTGTGTTCCCAGAGAATTTGAAGGCATCTGGCTACCGCAGGAAATCTTTAACATCCTTTCCTGAGAAGTTGTAAGGAGTGCTGAAGGCTTCCCCCAAATCTGCTACTTTCTAGAGGATCTGCTGTTTGTCATGTTTTCAGTGTTCTCTAACTAGTCCTGCTCCATTTGTGCTTGTTACCCATGTCTGTCCTACTCTGCATTCATGTTTGTTACTTATGTTCAGGTAGCTTTATGTTTTCACTTGTAAAGATGAGAGAGAGCCACAGTAGTCATTGCTGGACTAATAAGATGACAGTGCTTTAGGGTCTGGAGCTGCTGAGTGAAAAGGGCAAGAAGCCCATATTTTTACCAGCAGACACATGAACAGGAATGGCAGATGAGCATTTTGCCTAGAAACACATTTTATAATGACTAAAATAGGATCCATTTTACAAAAGCTCTTTCTATGTAAATTTTCAGAAACATTGTGAACAAATAGAAGCACCTGTGTTCTTTTAGTACTTGTGAACAGTGGGAAGATAAAGCTACCTTAGTGCATAATATCCTCGGGTACATTTTAGTACACTTCATTCACATGGTGTAATAGCAATGGGAGAAAAACCTGGAGTCAAAAATAACACTTATATTGTCAGTATCTCCAGACTACCCATATAGCCAATTGTATAGGATGTACAGGATGCAATATATTTTAGGAAGTGGCTCTGAATTCATGTAGTTACGATTTTTAAAAAATTGTTTAATAAACCAGGTTGGATGTGACTTTTAATATTGGGTTTTGTCTGTATTGTCAGTATCTCCAGACTACCCATATAGCCAATTGTATAGGATGTACAGGATGCAATATATTTTAGGAAGTGGCTCTGAATTCATGTAGTTATGATTTTTAAAAAATTGTTTAATAAACCAGGTTGGATGTGACTTTTAATATTGGGTTTTGTCTTTTATTCTTTTTGGTTATTAAATTTATTGAAGTCATAATGACATAGAAGTGTTTTATCTTATTAGTCTCTGAAAAACAGATTTGTATCCAAATGGATTTAACTACTTTTTAATTTTGTAGTTAACTTGTTGGAACTTTATATTGGATGTTTCTCTAACAGTAGAAATGTATGCATTTATGGCAAGAAGTTTGCTTTGATTCTCTATAAATTGACTTGTTTAAATCTGAAGTAAAACTTTCTTCTAGGTATGGCGATTCAGTACTGCATTTTGTTCTGTTAATGAGTGGAAGTTTGCTGACATCCTAAGCATGGCTGACCACTTGAAGAAATGCAGTTACAATATTGTTGAGAAACGAGAGGAAGCAATCCCATTGCCATGTATGTGTGTGACACGAGAACTCACTAAAGAAGGACGTTCACTACGCTCAGTTTTAAAACCTGTACTTTAAAAATTTTAACTTCACTTGCACATATATGCAAGCACCTAGTATAATTTCTTTGTAATATGTGACACTTTATTAATGTATTAAAGATTGCAACTAGCTAAATTTATTGTCACTATGTATATAATGTTTTGAAGTGAAATATATTTTTATAAAGTACTGTTTAGTTAGAAAACAGTTGCCTTAATGTTTGAAATGTGTGAAATTTTTGAAACTTGCTGGACAGGGTGATTTAATTTTTAGCTACATAATTTTCCAAATTAGTATTTTTAATGGTGTGCATATTTTGGTTCTTAAGGTTTTTGCTGCTTAAGCTAGCAAGATCCTGACCAAACAATTTATTCCTCATGTTTTCTGTGGGTTGCAGCCCATGCAGTCAAAAAGCAAAACTTTGATTCAAATTTTTTCAGCATAGGTTTTTCATATAAAACCTTCTGTTGCTTAAGTACTGCCGTAAAATCTTTATAAAGTTTTTATTTCTAGTGCTCCCCTTATACAATTGTCGATGCATAGATATCTCTAATATATACTTACGAAATATTTAAATTCATTCATAATGTTTGGAAATGCCATTTATCATGTTTTAAAAACAATCTGCAAAGATGTTTTCATCTTAGGCACTTACAACTCTTATACAGAGAGTGACCATATGCAACTTTCTGTTTCATTAGACGCCATAGCCAAAGACTTATGGTGATGTGATATGACAGGTTAAAGCAGAAGCGAGTAAACCAAAAGCAAGCCTGGGAATTTACTTTAATTTGAAACCGTTCTATTATGTATTTGCTAGGTATTTAATGTTTGAAAACTATATACCTCATTTTAAGTTTGAATTGGGCATATTGTGTGAATAAATTTCAAATATTCAGAATGTAAAGAGCTTAACTGTTTTTTTCATAAACATTTTAAAATTTTTGCCTTTTGACATTTACAAAAATTATAACCATGTTGTTTTAAGACATTTAAAAATGTGAAATTTGGTGTCTTCTTTGTAAGATGATAACCATGCAGACACCTATCTTGATTGACAATCTTTTAACATTTCCAAGTTAATTTCCCATCGATTTTTCTATCAAGAAAGTAAGAATTGCATCTTGGGATAAAGATCAAGGTACAATAGAAAAATATTCAAAGTCTTACTCTTGAATTATTTTATTATAGTTTTCAAATTGATTGTTACTATTATTAACCTGATATGGTCAGTTTTTAGTAAGAAATTACAAAATTGGGGACATATACTTCAATAATTTGTCTTAAGTAAATTCTGGCATTTAGTAGGCTGAAATGTGACAGGTTATCTTGTTATAAATGTCAAAACTCTATTGTGTCATCTCTTTCTACATTTGTCCCTGAGAGTGCTCTTTTAAGTAAATTCTGGCATTTAGTAGGCTGAAATGTGACAGGTTATCGTGTTATAAATGTCAAAACTCTATTGTGTCATCTCTTTCTACATTTGTCCCTGAGAGTGCTCTACGGTTACTAGGTTCTTGATTCCTATATATGGCAATCAGGCTGGACAGAGGCGTTCCTTTGGGCATTAGAGAAGAATTCTGAAATGCTTAAGATTTGTTTTGGTTGGGTCAAATCCTTTTTACAGTTGAAAAGTATAGCATTAAAGACTAATTTGCCTTACCTGTTACTTTAATTAGTGCTTAAATTTTCTTTTTCAACTGTGAGGCTGAATTGCAAAAACAGTCTCTATTTCTGTGAAAAAGCCAGAAATAAGATATCAGATACTGTAAAGTATAACTCTGCCTTTTAAAGTTTTGCTGAAGAATGTGTCTATGGTTAGGATAGCACAAGCATTGACTTTTTGTTTTATGGTTGTGCTTCTTAAAATCCATGATTTTTAAGTTTAGGCTTCTTGTTTCCACACTGTATCATGAAATATTTAACATTTTTCCCACCTTATATTTCTTTTACACATCTTTTGCTGTTCTTTTTTGTTTGTTTGTTATGGCACCATACTATTTTGTTGAAATGTTTTCTTTGTGCAACATTTGTCCAAGTTCTAATAAAATTAATGTTTTCCCTTTATATGGCTCAGTAACTGAAAAGAAAAAACTTTCATTTAAATAAACTTTTAATACTTGTTTGACAGATTCCAAACACAATCATATTTCTGTAATGTGAATTTTCTGCATGTTGTAAGAGTTGCTTGTTGTTCACCCATGTTTTACTGGTGAACATTAAATTTTATTTTTAATATGAAAACTAATTAGTTAGTTTTCTCTGCCCCTTCAGTATCCTGAAAGTAGTCCTACTTAGTGGTATTGGAAAGCTGAGGAGTTTCTGGCATGATTATTTCTCTAAAATTTGTAATGGGACCCATCTGAATAGCCTCTTAAGCATGAAAAGGTTTGTATATTGGCCCAGTAGATTGTCATTTGAAAAGTCTTTTTTGATTCTTTAGTCTTTTCTAACCAGTAAGATAAAAGGCAAGCGTGAAGATAGAGGGCAATATCTGAATTCACTTTTGTCCTCTTCTTTCTTCCCCAGTACTTCCTGTTAACTTAATACCCCCTCCCCCTCCATCGACCCCTTTCTCTCTCTCTCTCTCTCATTGGCTTTTATGAGACTCATAGATCACTTACAGCAGTGGTTCTCAAAGTGTGATATCTGGACCAGCAGCACTAATGTAATTTCCAACATCCCCTAGAGATTTGTTAGAAATGAAAATTCTTGGACTTTTTTCCAAACTTACTAAGTCAGAAACTCTGGGGTGGGAACAAGCAATCTGTTTTTTTCTCCAGGTGATTCTGATGCACAGTAAAAGTATGAGAACTTAGAGGAAAGCTGGGTCATGCCAACTATACTCTTCTGAGTTATTGGGATGTATATATGTGTGTGTATGTACGTATATGTATAATCCAAAATTAAGAATAATGATTATTTATTAATATTAGTTAATGGTTAAATTAAATGATATGTGTCTCAATCTTGTAGCCCTATGACCAAATACATTGGGTACTATGGTTGCTGGATCTTAAAAACAAAAAACTACTAGTATTTTAAGTTTCACTAGTGTTTCTTCTATTCAAGGTAAATTAGCACAAACGTTTAGCCTAGTCATCTCATTCTTACTCTTGTTAAGTGGTTGCAGAGTCATGTGAACATATTAGGTTTTTAGGCTAAGCAAAGAGAGTTGAAGTAGGCAGTTACTGTATTAAATCCTACAAAAATATTTTTAGGGATCCTTTCAACCCTATTGGTAAGATATATTATTAAATATTGGGTTTCTGATCTATCAGTAGTGTAGAATCTTTTGGTCTTTGACACTGTGCTGTGTATCCTATCAGTGTTGTTGCTTTATTGTCTGTCCCTTAACAATGGATATTGGGATCTTAGTAATGTTGAAGATAACAGGATTTTCAATAAAACTTCCATAGCCTTTGAAGATAATGGACTAGCAGTATTATATTGATAACAGATTTTACCTGTGTAGAGTTGACTAGTTTTAGCTATTTGGAAGCAAAACTGATTTCTTTGTCTTGCATCCCAACCTAAAAAGACATGGAATTTTTTAATTTTTAAAATTTTCTAGTGTTTACTCAAACATTAAAAAATGAATTTGTTTCATGCATGATACCACATTGGAAGGCGATGTGAGTAGAACCTGCAGAGTTGGTTGTTTAGAAGGGCAGTAGAATGAAAGCAATAGGCCCTTTTCCTGGATGAAGCCTTTTGATGGGAAGAATTTCTCTGGTAATGTATTTGATAGGTTAACTAAATGTTGCTGTAAGTAGTCTTATTTAACATACTCATGAAGCCTAGGAAGCCAGAGAATATTAGTTATGCTTCTGAAGAATATCAACTCACAGTGATTAGTTCCATTGTGTTTAAAATAACTTAATGATGGATTTTGTTAAGATTTTTGTAAATCTGATTTACCAAAAAAAAAAGTTTGAGTTGAATAAAGGCCAACTCTAGTGGTGATCTTTCTAAATTAAGGGAAAAGGAAGGATGGTTTCTTTTTTTTTTTTTTTTTGTCTTTTTTGAGACCGGCCCCCCCCCCCCCCCCC